CTCCAAGTAGGGCTTCAGGATGTTGGGAATCTGGGCATTAGAACCTTTCGGACTTCGGGGCCTGTATTCTTTTGCGACTTGCAACTTGCAACAGCATTTCAAGCCAAGAAATGGGACTGGGACCTCGCATCAAGTAAGTTGGCAGCGTATTGGCCTGCTGAGTTACAGAGGATGATAAGATAACAGATCTCTACAGGCTGGGATTCGGATTTAGGGCCTGTGGGGTTTTGGGGATGGGCAAGTTTCAGGTGGATCCAGCCTGCTGTCCTTTCGGAAACGTGGAAGGTTTGGATTTGGATGGAGCCAAGGGTAAAGGGGCTTCGGGTTTAGAGGTCGTGGGGGTGTGCGGATCAGGGATTCGGAGGGGAGGCGGGATTGTTTTCTTATCTAACAGCCCTTGGCCTAGCTATCATATTCTGAATCGACCACGGCTTTTCAGCACTCCATGAGCGCTGGTCGAATTCGTCGGCAGCGCTGAGAGGGTTATGGCCAAACGCGTGAAGCTCTCGTCGTTGCATTTGTTTGCCGCAGTCTGAATTCTGAATTAAAGCACGTGAAGGCAAGCCACGGTAAGCCACGTGTATTCGCACAGATTGAGATAGGTTGGTGGGTGTGTGTGACTGTGTGTGTGGGTATTGGTCGTAAATGGGGAGGTTTAGGGCGTGGCGACGTGTATTCGCGCAGATTGAGATAGGTTGGTGTGTGTGTATGTGTGGGTATCGGTCGTAAATGGGGAGATTGGGGCTTGCTGCTTAGTTGGTGTTGGCACTTACTGCATTCTATCCGAAAAAATACAGGTGGCAACTGGTTGCCACCTGTATTTTTTTGTCTAAACGCAGCAATATCCAGTCATTTGTGCAGTCTTAATCCTTAATCGGCTTTGATTCTTTTTGCAAGAATTGGGTTTGCTGCTTAGTTGGTGTTGGCATTTACTGCATTCTATACGAAAAATACAGGTCTAAAATGCAGCAATATCCAGGCATTTGTGCAGTCTTAAACCTTTATCGGCTTTGATTCTTTTTGCAAGAATTGGGTGACGGGTGAGATCTGAGCTTCTTTTGTCTCAGAGTCAGATCGGTGTATTGTTGTCTTCTGCTTCTGGTGTTCATGTGTTGTTGCCATATGGCCATTTGTGCCTGCATGCAGTAGAATTCACTTCGCCGCGATGTGTTTCTCCATGCTGCACGACGCAAGCGGAGTAGCTGCTTCCCTTTCCCGTGGTCGGGTGTGTAACTCTGTGTCTGTAACTTTGTAATTTGTAATGTGTAACTGCTGCCAGGTGATTCGATCAATTCGATCAACCCCTGCCTGAGCGGCAGCGACCAGGGAGAGGCTCGGACAGGGACACGTCCCATCCAGTTGAAACTTTCAGACGTTCAGATGCCATTCCTTCCAACTTGCTGCTACTTGGTGCTTGCATTTACTGCATTCTATACGAAAAATACAGGTGGCAACTGGTTGCCACCTGTATTTTTTCATTTAAACGAAGCAATATCCAGGCATTTGTGCAGTCTTAAACCTTTATCGGCTTTGATTCTTTTTGCAAGAATTGATTCTTTTTGCAAGAATTGGGTGCGATCTGGGCTTGTTTTGTCTCAGAGTCAGATCGGTGTATTGTTGTCACCTGTGTAACTTTGTAATTTGTAACTGCTGCCAGGTGATTCGATCAATTCGATCAACCCCTGCCTGAGCGGCAGCCACCAGGGAGAGGCTCGGACATGGACACGTCCCATCGAGTTGAAACTTTCAGACGTTCAGATGCCATTCCTTCCAACTGTTGCTGCACTTCGCTTGATTCTACTGTTATCTCACGGCTGGTTTCCATGAAGTGCAGGCGTTTCAAGTCGAATTGTAGTCGAACAGTGAAGCGCTGTAGATGACAGGCAATTGTTTTTGCATGTTGCCCGACTGTGCAGCGTGTGTAAGTGCAGCCAGCAATCACGTGAAGCCCAGTTCGAGCTGGGCCTCGGGCAGCAGTGGTGGGACTTGCACGTGCCTGCTGCCTTCTTGCTCGGTATGTTCGACTTCGACTTCGACGGCTCCGACGGCTCCTGGTCCTCGTCCTGGTGCTTCTGTGTCGTCGCAGGCTGGCTATGCTTCCGAGGCATGGGTGGCCTTCATGAAGAGCAAGGTGGACACCTGCCCAAGTCTGCGCGAGGCCCTGGAAAACCTTGCAAAGCAAAGGAAGACATGGGTTCTCGGCAGCGTATGCACTGGATCAGGAACGTGCCACATGATATGCGAGCTGCTCGAGAAGAACTGGCCAGCTTGGCCGCTTCGGATCAAACACCAACTGCAAGTGGAGCTTCATCCTCAGAAGCGAAAGTTTTTACTCGAGCATCAGAGGTCCACAGTTGTCCCTCGCTGATTCACTCACAATTTTGAAGGCATTTAAAGGCATTTGAAGGTGTAGGCGGTGTAGGTGTAGTTGTTTTAGTTTGATGTTGCGGCAGATACGTCTCGAATTGATATCCCTGGTGAACTGTTATTTGAGGTCATGTCTGACATCGTCAAGTGTGTCAGCCCCGACGGTGACATGGATTACCGCAGCAATCAAGTTCGTCGCCCTCCACGAGTGGACGTGTTGATAACGGGGACAAGCTGCAAGGGGTTCAGCTGCTTGAACAATGCCCCTACTGCGTCCGATGACACAGGCAGCAGCAGCGGACGGACCATGCAGAGTACGTTGCTGTACATCGAGCAGATGAGGCCCAAGCTCGTGGTGTCACTTGATTCCAATGTGATTCAAATTCAGCTTTCTAGAATTGAACCCACCCACGATGCATGGTCATGACCACCGTCGTTTGGCCCAGGTGGGAGAACGTCGCTCGGATGACGTGCAATCGGCAGGCAGAAGACGGGAATGCTGCTGGCAAACTCCTGGAGCGCATGAAGCAGCTGGGTTATGAAGGCACCTATCGCATCCTCAACGCGAAGGATTTCTCACTCCCCCAGTCGCGGCCTCGAGTATATTTCGTCTTCTACTACAACTCCTGGGGCAATGCTGAGAAGGCTTTCGCATATGTCAATGAACTGCAAGGAAGGAGTATGACGGCAGGCCTGGAAACCTTCTTTGCGCACTCCGACATTTGCCCTCGTCCTCGCCCTCGGGCTCGAAGTGCAATCAAGCGCGATGCCCATGGTGAAGCGAAGGGCGCGAAGTGGAAGCTTGGCAGTTGTTGATGCAGCGCAGTAGTTTGCAGAAGTCATGTTACTCGATCATCGTATGAACTTTCATTCCCTACCCTGCCGAGGCCGTTGGTGTTGGAGACACATTTGGCAAACATAAACGTTACCGACGACACTTTCCAAGCATGTGCCCATGAAGTCAGGGCTCAGTGCCCTCACCTGACAGTGGCAGAGCAGTCGCGCCTGGCGGCGCACTATTCTTGGGTGAAGGAGTATGACAAGGCAAGAGACTGAGACTCAGACTGTGATCGTGTTTAATGCATGAGTCTCATTGCAAAACTTGTACAGGATACCGACATGAAGCGCTACATCTTTCAAGTGGACCAGTCGGTCGACCGCAAGACCTTCAGGCGTGATTGTTCGCCATGCATCGTGCCAGGCGGTCGATACATCTGGAACGGGCAGGAACTGACTGGCGCAGACATGTGGGCGTTGCAAGGCCTTGGCTACAAGGATCAGGTGGGTTAGGGTTCGTGCCAAAAGATCTAAAGAAGCTGGTCAGTATAGTTATAGTCAGTCAGTGCAATTTAACAGAACATAGATTCTCAATTCAACTCAAAACAAACCACGAGAACACAGGTGGACTTTGGGATTTCTTCGCTAGCCGAAAAAATCCGCAGAGACATGGCTGGAAATGCCTTTTGCATCAATGTGTGCATGGCGGTCTTGGTGTCTGCACTTTGTGCAATGACCTCGCCTTCGACCACGACCTCGAGCAGTGCTCAGGAGGACAGCGACGACCTCCTTGCCAGTGAGTTGGAATGAAGTAAGTGTCGCTGGTGCAGTTGCCAGCCGTTGCCTGCCACAGCCTGCCCAGTATCTCAATCGGCGAAAGTGCCGGGAGTGCATATGTTTAGTCATGGCAGAGGGTCAAGACTCGTCGCGAAATTCCCGACATTCCATTTGTTCAATCCAGGCACCTTGGGAGAAGTTGATTTTGATGAGACACTTTATCCGTATTCAGTATCACGTCACAGTCAGTTGCAATCGCTGCTGTCGTCGTCATATTGAATTTCCTTTCCGACGATGTTACATTGTTTGATCTCGGCTTCGTCTTCGCCCTCTGGCATGTGCATGTGCGTAGCAGGCTTACCAAAACTCTGTGAGCCAAGCCGTTGCCCGAGCACAGTGACAGTGCGAAATTCAGTGCGAAAATTTCAGCTTTCCGAAGAAGCATGCCAGACTGCCGGGTGCCTTGTCATTCTTTGTGTGTTGTGTTTGAGCACCGTAGCGTAGCATACAGTGTCCCAGGCCAGGTGCTGAGGCTGAAGGAACATGGCTGACAGATTCCGTGCGAAAATCCTCTGAAGCTAACTCGGCTTCGACCTCGCCCTCCAACTTCCTCGTGCGACCCGCCATGGCCGACATGACGGGGTTCTTCGCGATTTCGATGACGCTTTGGGGGGAATTCTTGAAGCAATACGACCTCGAAGGATCTGCCTCTCGGCTTTCGGCCTTGTTTACGTGCAGACTGTGCAACTGTGCAATGCAACTTTACGTTCATGTCGAACCGAGGTCGTGATGGGCTGGTGCACATTCCGGCCGACGCCGGAAGCGGCTCTTTTAGCTGCGCGAAGGAGGGGGGCCAGAAAGCTCGGCCACAGCTTCTCTTCACCCGAGCATGTCCAGACAAACTTGGTTCGCAAAAGACGCCAGTCAGAAACACTCCCTCAGCTTCGCGGCATCGCTCAGCTGCTCGGCATCTAGATCTAAATGTATGCAATTATGCAAATGCAAACTGTGGCATTGTCAGTTTACAACGATTTAGATTACAAGTCGCATTAAGGTTCTTTGAAGAGCATGCTGAGTTCATGGTCCTGGTTATTCACGTTTCGCAAGAGATGGCAAGCAGAAAATGCAGTGAGGGAACGATGAAAATGATGGTGGTGGACGACGCCTGCGCCTTCGATTTCTTCGGTCTCGACCCGTTCAATGCTTCGAAGAAGAAGAGCTTGCCCGTTGGATGCTTCCGGGCCCAGCTCGCGGTCCAAAAAACGGGTGAGAACGAGAAGATCTACAAGGTAACCTCAGCCCCCGGCACCGCCTTCATGAACGCACTCGCCCTCGTCAACGAGGCGCCGGGCGTTGCGGGCGAGATCATGGGTAAGTTCTATGCGGTGTCGTCTTCGCCTTCGCCTGAGAATCTTTTGGATCCCGACGCCTTCGAAGGGATTCGAGAGCTCATCAAGAAGCCACTTGGTTGAACTTGGTTGTGTCAGCGTGCAATGAGGGCCTTTGCTCCGTCGTCCTAGGGTTTTGCTGCATTAGCCGAGGAACATGGGCCGAGCTCCCAAATCCACAAAGGCTAAGACGGTGGCGCTCTTCGATGCACCTCTTGTGCCCGCCATCGTGGAGCACCTGCAGAGTCTTGCTAGCATAAGAGTCAGTCCGGTCGTATCTGTTTTGCTACCAAGGACCAAGGCTGTCTTTGGCTCATGTGTCGCTCAGGTCGGTGGGCGTCAACGACACCTGCAGCCTGCACCTCATCGAGTACAACGTGCTTTTGTCGGAGGTCGTGCCGTTTTTGAGTCCGAGACTTGGCGTTCTTTTGGTTTACCCTTTGGGGATTCTGTGTGAATTATAAATTAGAAATAGTACGAGGGGTTCAGAAGTCGGCGGAGGAACCACGTCTTTGGCACGATGATCGCGTTGAAGCCGCCCCTCAGCAACGCCTACATTGTTGTGAATGAGTGCGTGCTTGGCCATGTGAAGATGGAGCACGACATCTCCAATGACGAAAGGGACCCGATGTTTCACTTCAACAACTGGAAGGTGCAGCAGCTTGAGGATCAGATTGATATGTTCCTTGGCAGCTCTAGCCTGGTTACTCTTTCATGATAACTTTCATGATTTTTCGAGACCGCCCAGGATGGAGAACGACCTCGCTGACAAGAAGAGATGCCTTCGTGGCTTCAAGGAAAGCATGGCAAAGTGAGACGCCCAAGATCTTCCATTGCCATAGCTGGGCAAGGCTTTTTGTATTGCAAAACTTGCGGCCTCGTCCTCGATCTCGTTCGCATAGCCCTCTGGCCCTCTGGGCAATGATTCATTCTCGGCTGTGTTCTCCTGCGGGCAAAAATGTTGGCAACATCACCTTTCTATCCCAGGCATAGGCCGCGGCCGGTGTATCAGGCTAGAGCTCAGAGCTTAAGGGGGTCGACGGTCGGAGAACATGGCCCGTCATGGCATAAACCGACTGGTGCTGCCAACCAATTAAGTGTGAGCTTGGAAAAAAGTCGCACTCGTGGCGTTGCTGTTGCTGGCTTTGTGATCTTGTGCTCAGCTGATCCACATTCTTGTTTGGGCAGGCAGCTGCTCATGCAACTGAGCTTACGGCCCGGTCTTCAGTGATCACGTGCAAATTCTTCGAAGTCTGACCGTCTGCATTTTGTCATATCTCTCAGGTCCACGGCATTGCCAACAAGAAGAGACGCTTGCATCCGCACATACAGGGGCAGGGGAGCAAGCGCAGGGGAAAAGGCGGGCAGGGAAGACAGGGGCCGGGGGGGCTGCGCGGAAACAACAGGTAGACTACAGGGGGGGGTGAGAAATGAACGCAAAACACTGATTCGTCCAAACTTTCGGAGTGCAGGGAGGGGGATTAGGTGGTAATCCCCAATACGCCTGAGCCTGCGGCCTCGGCGGTTATTAATGATAATTTACATATTTACATAATTTACATATATTAGAATTTATATGTATATAATATATATATTATATAGGCCAGGCCTTCCTTTATATCTGTTTTGACAACGTCGAATAGCTCACCCCCGATTGTGATTCGATTGCAGGCCAAAAGAGCGAGGAGAGCTGTGGCAAAAGCCAAAGCAAAGTCAAAACCGTGTGCCAAAGCAAAATGCAAAGGCAAGGGCAAAGGAAAAGGCAAAGGCCGTGGAAAAGGCAATGGGTTTGGAAGAGGCACAGCTTTGGGCTTGCAAGGGCTGGCTCGCAGGCAAGCAGCGTCACGAAAACGCAAGGAGCAGGTGCTCGAACAAATGCCCGGACCAGCAGTGGAAGAAGATCCAGATATCGCTGAACTCAAAGAGGAGTTGGAAAGCCAGCTGTTGGACATGAATGTCATGGACGATCGAACAAATCCTGATTCATTGCCGGCAGAGCCTTGTGTCCATGCTCCCAGTCCAAGAGAGCCCGCCCCCTCACCGGAGCCTTGCGCCGATCCTCCCAGTCCACACACTGGTGAAGGAGAGCCCGCCCCCCCGGCGGAGGAGCCCTGTGTCGATGCTTCCCGTCCACACTCTGCGCTTGGTGGTGCCGGGGTCGCACACGAGGAAACAAAAGTGCAAGCACAGCCATCCAATGGGACCTTGCCGGATCCAATATCCGGGCCAAGGGACAGTGGAATGGCACAGGCCTCGTCCTCGAGCGGATCAGCCCCTGAGCAGGTCCTTGATGATGCTGCACATCGTGGCCAGGCATCGCAACGTGCTCCGCGCGAGCATGGTCCACACTTGAATAACACTCCCGACTTCCTGTCGGAGTTGGATCCACCCGAAGACTTCAAGTTGCGTCTCAGCTTCAACGATCATCGCTTCAAAGCCGAGATCATGACAAAACAGTATGTGTCAAGTGAGGGGAAAAAGTCTTGCAGCAAAAGCTTTGCTAACGACAGATCAGACTGGAAGCAAGCACTGGCTCAAGTGCATCGCTGGGCGTGGACAGAGTGGGAGAAGGCCAAACCTGAAAGGCAACTGCCGCCTCATTGTCAGCCTGGCACTATCCCTGAGGCTGTCCTGGAACGCCTTGCCCCGATTATCGACGCAATGCCTCCGCCCACAAAGTATGCCAAGTAGCCTCTTCAGTTTTTTTTGGTGATAAACACATCACAGGGGAAAACATGTCAGCAGGTTGCAGATTTCTGTCAATGTCATGTATGCAAGTATCGTGTTCTTAGCTTCAAGTCTTCGGTCGATTCAAGAAGTCACAGGGAGTGAGTTCATCCAGCCGAGTCCAATGTGTGTGAATCTGCTCCTGCTGTCATAGCGGCAACATGTTCGATTCACAATTTTGGCTTCAGCTTGTGCGCAGTTGCTGTTCATTCTGTGATTGAGTCTTTACAGTTACGTTGCAATTACAGTTGCTGAATGCCTGAAGTGTGCAATTGAAGATGACATGACATGAATCATGAAGTCTCACCATAGTTATGCTGCAGATTGCTCGGGGAGAAAGCGATCAGCAAAAACAAGCCTTCCTGACATTGTGTCCTGTTAGTTTGTGGAATGTGCTTGATATGCCAGGCAAGCATTGAATCCATTTGTTGCTCAAGTTGGACCAGAGGTATGGTTTAAAGTTATGTGGGACAACAAATCAATGTATTGATGTCAGTGAATCACCAACATGTCCAATTTCCAGTGGCCGTGCCAGCATGTGCTGGGATCATCGCTGGTCTTCAGTGGTAGTGCTGGGCCTGTGAAGCCAGCACGCAAGAAATGCAAAAGGAAAAAGAATGCTGCAGAGTCATTTGAGTTGGGAGGTAGATCAGTGGAGCGCCCGTGTACTCTTCCTGCCTTGAATTTTACCGATACAGTTTCAATCACAGGAACTGATGAAATTGATGATCGGTTTGACACTTGGGTAGAGGACGTCTTCGAGCAAACATCGCGATTGCAATGTTCGCATTTCCTTCCGTTTGCTTCCTTGTCTTTCTCCCCAAGGCCGGAGTCTGTTCAAGGTGTTATGGGTCACAGATTTTGTTATAATATGAATTTTTCATTAATGTAATACTACATAAACTTATCATCATCCTCAATTGATCTTGCTGGCCAGGTCCACAGAGCCTTGGTGTCACAGGCTCATGGTTGCAAGGATTTTGGTGCAAAATTTCTTGCGCTACGACCAGGACTTCAATGTGGGCAGAGTGGCCATGAAATGGCATGGGCTGATTGGATTGGCTTATCCCGCATTGAAGAACCGAACCATCGAGTGTCAGCTGATGTGCATCATTAGCCGTAGCTATGACAACAGAGCCAAGATTGAAGCAGCTTCAATCGATGTGGGACCCCATCAATGTGCGGGGTTGCTGCAATACATTGAATACTATGCAGGGAGCGCCAAACTTTCGAAGAAATTGATCGAATCCGGTCTCCGTGGGTGCAGCTTTGACATACTCTACAATGACGAACACAACATGTTGCTAGCGAAAGGGTTGCGTTTGTTTCTGGATGCAGCCACAGCGTGTGAGAAGAAGGCTTTGCATTGGTGGGGCACTCCGTGCTCTTCTTTTGTCATTATGTGCTCATTTCGTTCCCAACGTGCTGAAAGCAACGGCTGGGAAGGCGCATGGACTGAGCGGGACTTTGTATTGCAGGGAAATTGTCAGGCCCTTGTTTGCTCACTTGGGATTTTCCTGGGATGGGCATGTGAGTGCTGCCCTGTGGTGGAACAGCCCCTCAGCTCCTGTATGCCGCACCTCGAGTGTGTCAAAACAGTTCTATCCTTTTGTGGCTTCGAAAAGACTTGCACCTACATGGGTGCCTTTAACGGAAAGTCAGTGAAGCCCTTGCAACTGTGGCATTTGCCTGGGTTTCATTTTGAGAACCTGGCCAGGCCCAAACCAGATCATAATGCTTTCATTGGCCTGGTAAAGCCCAGTCCGAGACTCAGTAAAAACAAGGCATGATAATAACTCCAGCAAGCGCCCAAAATATCTAATAATAGTTAAAAGCAACCCACGAAAAATAAATGACCCTAGAAGAGCATTTTTGACCCGGCTTTATGAAGACTGAAGGGATTGCCGTGGAAATTCCAGCATGAGATTGTCGAAAACTGATCGCATTGTATAACTCATGTTCAAAGGTATTCCGACATGAGGGATTGCGTACAGTGGTGAGTTGCATTTGTCAAAGACACATTGGGCTGCCGTAGCCAGCTGCAAATCCGGATTGGCCATTTCGTTTGCATTTACTGTCTTCATCTTCGCTGTATACTGATTCCGTTATTGCATTATCTGGGAATTGGAAATGATGCCAGATGTGACAACTGCACTGTGTGTATTGTCAAGGGACCGTGTTAGATTGTATTGCATCATTCCCGGCATCTACAGTGCAACGGCCCAATTGTGATCACATTGACAGTTGGCTCAAGTCTGCAGGAAGAGGATTGAGACCGACTGGATCTGGATTGCAAGGGTTCTGATTGTGTGCTGTGCATTACTGTCAACCTGTCGACCATTTTACAAAGTACTGTACGGTATTGGTACTGAAACGTTTTTAATTCAGGGCGGTAATTTTGAAATACCCACCCACATGTGTCAAACTGCAACAGCATGCAAAGATTGGTACTGGCCAGGTGTTCCGTTCTGTACCCCACAAGTAATTAGAGTAAGGTCCCCGAGGCTTGAGGCGCATTCTGAGGCCAGCCTAGAATAGCGAAGCTTTGGCCCCTCATATCAAGCATGAATTGGGACCTCCTTGACGGTTGTATGAATGCATAACTTCCTGTTCATGACAGCATCGTGAAGCGGGCTCTCGCAGTGCCAGGCCGGCTCCACCCAGAAGGCCATCGATGCCGCCATGCTGGGCACTCGGTGCCGGATGCGTGATGACAGCGCTAGTTGCGATGATAGAAGAAGTCCAGTGGGCCGCGACAGTGGAGACTAGAAGAGACCTCTAGACTCCCCGGTCGATACACTTCCAGAAGGCCGGATTACAATCAAAGATTGCCAGAAGAAGCGCTCGTTCGTCACTGGGCTTGCGGCTGCCTTCCATACTCAAATGGCGCTGAAGGAGGAGTGCCCAATAGATCGGGTTAGGCAAATTCCTGACTAATAGTTAATAGTTAAGACCCCGGATGCTTTCAACTTGCAGAGCAGCTTTCAACCTGCAGAGCAGTCGTACTTCCGGCAAGCCGAAAAAAGAGAGAAGTGTGAGTGAAGCCACTGTTGACTTTCGACTTCCGCTTTGTAGCTTCGCAAGTGCCTCGTAGCCTTTTGTGTTGCGTGGTGTAGAACTGTCCTGAACAGCCGAAGGCTAGCGACAAACTCCAGGCTAACTGGGATTTGTGCCACATCCAAACGGAGAGTCGTCGCGTGCTTCTGTGTTGCTAGCTCGCAGTCGCTCGCGGCTAGTACGACTACTCTTGTGCTTACTGCCCCGGTGTTCAATGTTTTGCCGAGGTCGTCGCCTGGCTCGGGACACTCAGGGCCTGAAGCAGGATTGGGGTGACTGGCTGATCTCGATGGAGCAGGCATCGCTCATTACTGGCTGTCGAAATTGCGAGCAGTCGACCCTGCTCACAGGCAGATGCAGCGATCAGTCACTACATCCAGGCCTGGTTCGCAATCTCTGCGGCGGGAGGTGGCGGGAATGGATTCTATAGCTAGGCTAGTGTACCTAAAGGGCTCCTTCACCTCGGCACGTCGACAATGGGGTCGCACTACGGGGTCTTGCAGCGGCAGGCATCGCTGGGGAGAGCCCGAAGCAACGAGTTAGCCATCATTTAACCCCTTGCCTGTACGGTTCTATAGCCTTAAACCCCGAAAGTCTTGCATGTTTGGAAGGCAGGTGGTTTTGTCATAATGCGTAAACCTGAATGCTTGGTAGTACTTCTTTAATGTCGTGGAATGCAGTTGCGCATGCACCGACATGCAAGCCAATCGAACAAGGGTGGCCAGCGCTTGCTTGGCCCGACCTCCGAGGTCGTGGCTTCTCCTGGATTGCGGCACCAAACAAGCAGGTGTGACCTGCTTCGCAAAAGACTTGCATGCAAGTTGGCTCGTGGGCCTCTGTTAGCTTCAAGTCGAGATTCTCTGGCCTTTGTACCACGAGATTGCACTATCCATCACGTGGTCAGCAACTGTCGATGGTCTCTTCAGAAACATTTTAAGACATAGCGCGCTTTACTTGCACTTGCACCCTTGCAGAGCTTGTTGCATGCGCAGAATTGCGCAGATGAGTAAATGCTTATGCGCCTTTCTCTGAATGCAGCCCAATGAGCGTGCCGTGCCGCAGTTCGTCTCAAATCCTGGGAGTTGCAACGTCGGTTAGTCACGTGGGCAACAAAGAGCAACAGGCCTGGATGCTGGCATGTAGCTGCACATTGGAACATCTGATGTTAGAGTTTCCCATATCCGCAGTTGTTGCCCGGCCCCTATTAATCCCAAAGTTATTTGTAGTGCGTCACGTAAACCGTGAGTTTTCGCTGTCAACTTCGGAATTTTCGATTGCCCGAGTGTTTGTTGTGCGCGGCTGGGCCATCTGCATCAGACCTCGACGAGCAGGGCACCAAGGAGGAGGGTGCAACGAACATCAGAAAACTATATAAGTAATAGAGCTCGGCATGAAAGAGGGGCTTTGAGGTTTGGTTTGGAGGTCTCTTCGGCTCCGTGGTTTGCCGAGCAAGACTCCCAGATATCGTGTGGTTGCGAGCTTTCGGAGCGTAGCAGCACTAAATTGAGGACATTTGTTTCAGGGAACATGGCGGGCAGGGAGGCTATACCATATTCAACACCCCCCTCCCGCCCCCCCCTGTCTCTTGTGCGGCCCTTCCCCTCCCATCTCTCCCCGTCCCCTCCTGCCGCCCGCCCACGCCCTGCCAAGGCATGTATCGGATTCGTTTTTCTCTGTAAATCCACGGCCGCATGCGGCCGCTTCATAGATCGAAACGCTCAACACTTGTTGCTGGTGCTGCTCGGAAGCGGCACTTCGACTAGTCTAGGGGGCCATGGCCAGCTGGGTCTAAGCTGCGAAAGTGGCTTAAGCACATGTTTGTTGGCTTTGGGTATTGCCTTGTTGGCAGGCATCCCGACCCCACTCCCGACTATTGCCACCAAGAGACCTACTTCTTGCTGCTAGTGACCTACTGTACTTCTTGCTGCTAGTGTCCAGGTACTTTGAACCCTTGTCCGTACAAATCTGAAAGCAGTGTCGAAGCGACGAGGCGCAGCGCTGTTGTGAGCTGGGCATCAGACGACTGCCCATCTGCTCGGGTATCGGCAGAATGTAGTAGTTGCCGCGTCACTGGGAGTCACGGCAACTTCGGTTTCACTCTTGTCAGCTTGCGGAGGCGCTTTTTCCTGAAACAGCTTGTGGAAGTGTCGACATGTGACGATGTGGACGTTCAACGTCGCAGTTGAGTGATCTCGACGCTTGCAAATATTCCGTGCATATTCTTGCACTTGCACCGCGGCACTGGGATAGTGACCTTCGCGTCCGAAGCATCATCTAGTTTATCATCAGACAGAAGCACAAGGCACAAGCCAATCCAACACCGAACCAGTCCCGGACGATATGTTGGTTAAGAGCCCCAGGATAGCAAAGACTCGGGCAACCAGAGAGAGGTCAACGACAAAGAGGTCATGTCAACAGCCACTCTCCACGTCTCTAAGTCAGTCTAAGTGTGCTTGAGAGAGTCCTCTGAGCGAATGAACGCCGTCCGGTGCTGAGATCTCGAAGACGAGTCTATGGGCTGGCAGATTGATAACCTGACTTGCTGCTGCAACGGGAGGCTGCAGATGAGACCTCGTCCAGAGAGTCACTTCCCCAGCTAAACTGTTGGTGCCACGACCCCCATTGATCCATATGGTACTGCCAGGCCTCAAGATGCAGCCGCCAGCATGAGCAGCAGAGAGGCACCCCAAGCGAGACTCCATCCTGTCCGGCCCGCTCTTGCTTTCTTGACAGGCCTGTCTTCCCCTGGGATCAGGCACGGCTGCTGACGTGCTTTTGACACAAGCCGGCAGGCCTTGGAAGCGTTGTGGATTTGTGGTGTCAAGCCTGGCAGGTGAGCGTGAAGGAAACGGTGCGGGTGATGGCAGTGAGACCGAGAGCCCTAATCCAAAAGGCCATCTATTGTCATTTGAGTCATCCGTGTAGAGCCGCGCATGTTTCGCGATGCTTTTTGCCGTGACAGATGTTTGGGTTCATGTCTATCACTGCGACCCATACACCGGGTTTCTGAACAGGCGGGCATTGCAACACTTGCTCTGCTGCGTGTGGCCGTTTATTACCATGTGTTCGAAGACGGTAACCTGCAGGATGCTGCTGAAGAACTCTGAAATAGGCAGGGCCTGCGGTATTTCGGGCGAGAACTCGTCACGTTTGTCTCGCCGCGAGGACTAGTCAGACTAGTCATGGCCGTCGTACTCGCACAGGGTAATTGCAGTAGTTATACGTTTAGCCGTTAAAGAGATCAACGAAAAGACGATGTGGATAGACTCGTAGCGCACGTCAGATGCACGAAGTCACGGCACAGGCATCTATCACGCGGGGATCGAAGTCTACGGCGAGGCCCCAGCACAAGCTGCCGGATTTGTACGGGTCAAACTTTCGATGCGAGCCCTCGGGTTCGGCGCGATCAAAAACCACATGGCATCAGCGGTGTTCTGCCGAAACGTGAGGCGAGGTGAGGCACAAACAATGTCCAATTTCAGAAATCATCAGAAGTGATGCTGCGATGTGTAGTCTAGATAACTGGCATGAGACAGCCCCCGTGCTCTTCACATGCACCTGTGAGATCTGACCAGATGTTCTGCTTTCAAAGGGCGAGACCCGCAACTCCTGACCCTTACCTTGGGTTAGTAGTGGAGGAATGGCGTACAATTATATCTACTATTACTACCATTCTTCCATTCCCTTCTAACCAAAGTTAAGGACCTCGATCGAGCCAGGAGTGGTCGTTTCAGTACTTTGAAGACACATGGAATGACCCAACGATTTCTGGCATCATTCGATGTGCCCCGAAGCAGATGAGCGGCAGGAAGCTTGGTTTCTCGCAGTCTCAGCTTGTCGACAATAGAGTTGACCAGTTTCAACCATGTTCAACTGGCGATATCTCTGCCAAAACTACTGTTGCCTGCTGGGCTTGTCAGTCACTGGACCGACAACTACTCATGCTGGCCCTGGGACGATGCGAAGCTTGTTTTGCTCTTCTATCTATCGTGGTCCTTCATACTACGCGTACCAGTGCTCACTCTAGTAGTTCGCACTCCTACTGGCATGCTGCAAACTCTCGTTTGATCAATTCGTTTGCTGATTGAGCTCTCACTCTCAGGCTATGAGTATCAAGAGTCGCTGAATCTTGGACCCACCTCATTGAGCGAGGTGGAGGCAACTTTGGGCCTCAAAGTTCGAGATTTAGGATTTAGCGTGTGTATGGGCTTAGATTTTTACAGGGCTCAGGAGAAGCACTGCGCAAGGTCGACGACCTTCTCGAGACTTTGTGCGATGAATATTCGGCCAGCACGTCAGCCACAGTTGCTCTGCAAGTACTCTTCGTAGACTGCTTCAGTACTAGCTTCTGGAGTCGCGAACATCAAGTTGAGGAGGTTGCAGCTGCGACGGTTGCCTCTGTGTCTGCCCGCATCTTTCCGCGCAAGCGTACACAGGCCGGCATCAATACAGAAGACCTCGATGCGGCCAATCTCTTGGTTTCTGGAGTGTCATCTGGGTAGCAGCAGGGCAGGTTGCTGACTGATGACTGCTGAGGCAGAGTATGCGTATGACAAGTACTTCAGCATGTATGCGCTGGCAGAGGCAGTTCCGTTTACAGGTAGATTCGTCCTGCCACCGGGCAGGCACTGCCCGAACTTTTCAGCAGCAACATACGCAAAGCCCCATGATGAAGATCTCCTCTCGCAGTCACCGCGCTCTTCGAGAAACCGACTGTCCTTCAGCGAGGCGGCATCACTGGCGATTCGCTTGATTGGGAGACTGGAGCAGTCATGCAATCAGACGCAGCATGACCCAGCCATATTGCCGAGTCGGCCCAGGGCAATCTGCTGGTTCCCACGTCGAGCATCGCAGGCTGCTGAGTGACCAGGCTCACCGATCTTCATCCGATCGTGTAGCCTATATGTGACAGCAGTTCGAGGAACCTAGTTGTTTAATGTTGTTTAGGTATAAACAGTTTAAGCTGCATGTTCCCTTCGTAGAGGGTTTCTTCTGATGAAGTCGTGTTTAGACCAATCTTTCTGCAAGCCGAGACAGTATTGTCTATTGGATAGGTTTCTGCTTTTCGGCAGTGCATATCGGACATGCTATATAATTCAATTTCTGCTATGTGCCACCACAGCTTGCCAGCTGATGCATCGTAAGTTATAGCATTGCGGGTTGTGGTAGTTGGCTCTGCACGAGTATGTGCCACCTAGTGCTGCCGGTGTTGTAGGAAAGGCAGCGGTCCTAGTCGCAGTCTTTCGACCGATATGAGAGGTCCTGCTGGATCCTACCGGTGGTGAGAAGCCTTGCAAGTAGATTCCTTAGAGGCACGGGGCCACCCCCATACATGTGCCGTGTGCGTCGAATCTTCTTGAAGCTGTCTGATGCAGGCGGTGGTTTTCTACTGGCGGGCGAAGGTACGGGAGAGCAGGCGTGCTGATCGGATGCAGGCGGATTGCCTGGCTTTTTGAAGGGGCTTTCTGCATTCCTGCGTACGGTTTTCGTGAACGGAACGCCTGGCTTCGCTGAAAGCTGTCCAGCAGAAGTTGTCGTTGAATGTCATTTTTCGGCCCTGCAGCTATCACTGCTAATCTGCGCTAGTTTTGCCCTGGTGTGACGTGTTCCTTCGCTTCAAATGTTTCTGGGTTCCACCCCACATTGGGGGGAAGCACTAGGGCGGGTCGCATCACCGAGCGTCTACTTGGGGATTCGTGATCACGTTGATTCGGTCGGGCTTGTTGAGGTTTGATTGCTGAAGCTGAATTTACAGCAATTTACAGGGAGCCTTTCTGTACCAGTAGTGTTGGGTGCTTGCAAAATCGAGCGTCTACATGGGGAAGACAAGGGGAACGGCTGGTTCTGATGTGCTGTTTGATGCGATGTCGCTGATGTGTTTCCGGCGCGGGTGATTGCTAAACCGAGCGTCTACATGGGGTATGGTTGGTTTTGATTTGATGTTGGTTGTGATGCTACTGATGTGTTTCTTGTGTGGGTGCTCACGAAATCGAGTGCTGTTTGATGCGATGTGGCTGATGTGTTTCTGGTGCGGGTGATTGCTAAATCGAGCGTCTACATGGGGTATGGCTGATTTTGATTTGATGTTGGTTGTGATGCTACTGATGTGTTTCTTGTGTGGGTGCTCACGAAATCGAGCGTCTACCTGGAGAACGACTGGTTTAGATGTGCTGGTTGCCGCGATGTCACTGATGTGTTTCCTTGTGCGGGTGCTTACGAAATCGAGCGTCTGCCTGAAGAATGGCTGGTTTTGGTTTGCTGTTTACTGCGATGCCACGATGTGTTTCTTGTCCGGATGCTTACAATATCGAGCATCTACCTGGGGAATGGCTGGTTTTGATTTGCTGTTTGATGCGATGTCGCTGATGTGTTTCCTGCAGGTGCTTGCGAAATCGAGCGTCTGGAGAATGTCTGGTTCTGATGCTGAGATGCTAGTAATTGTTGTTCTGTTCTCCAGCGTCGTCGTCGTGATGACACCGACTGCTTCAGCGTACAGCGCTTCTTCTGCCTGTGGTCTCGATCACCCTGATCCGCGCCGAACGCACACTGAATGAAAAAGGCTGGTTTGGATGCCGCTGATGTTTGTCTTCAGCGTGTGCCTGTGAGAGCTGGTCCTGATGTGCTGTGATTCCGCCAACATGTGTCTTGCTATGTCTTGCTTCGGTGCTTCTCAAATCGAGCGTCTGCGAGGGGAATGGGTGGCTGGTTGTACTGCGATGCCACTGATGTTTGCCTTGAGTGCGTGCTTTGGAAATCGAGCGCCTACATGGGGAATAGCTTGTGTTATGATTCCACCGACGTCTGTCTTGCGCGGGTGCTTCTCAAACCGGGCGCCTACATGGGGAATAACTGACTTGACTGTGCCGTGATGTCACTGATGTTTGGCCGATGTTTGGCCATGTTTGGCCTTGAGTGTGTGAGCGTTTACCGGGGGAATGGCTGGTTTTATGTGTTGTGATTTTACAATGGGTTGACCTAAATTTAGCGCTTCGTGGAAGTCGTTGCGTCTGCGCGTGGACAAAGGAGCACCGATGAGCGCTGCCACTGCTGCTGTTTAGCGCATGACCCAACGCCTCCCGCAAGGGGCGTCGCGTTGGTGAATACAACATTTTCATATATTTTCATTTCTTGGTCGCTTTATTTGGAACGGGAGCTTGTGGAAAGGAGCGTCTGCATCGGGAATAGTTGGTTCTGACGTGCTGTGGCACTAAGGATGATCATATATGGTGTGTCTGGAGCGGGTTCTTCAGGAATTGCGCGTCTGAATTTGTCTACATGGGGAATGGCTGGTTTCGATGTGTTGTGATGAGACCTGTGTCTCGAACAGGTGCTTGTGGAATCGAGCTTTTACGTGGGGAGCGACTGGTTTTGATGTGATGTGATGTTGTCAGATCACATATTTGATTACTTGTGTCCCGAGCGGTTGCTTGTGAGTCGTTTTCGGGGTGCGGCTGGTATGCTTGTATATAATATTAAGCATTGAATAAGCTCTTATTATCAGAAAGCGTCTCGGTCACCATGCTTGGCGCTGGAGACGCGCACACCTCCCTGCTACTGCTACATGTGCTGCTCCTGCTCCTGCTATTCTGCTCTTCCTACAAATGCTGCTACCGTTACTGCTGCAGCCACTGCTACTGCTACTGATACTCCGTTGCAAGTGCTGTTAACTTGAAACCCCAATCTCTGCATGTTGAAACCGCTCTTGAAACCCTCTGTGCTCCTGCCAAGGCCTGAGACTCACTGGTTCGTTGGAAGACAGTGGCTTGGCTTAGCCAGCTTTTTCCTTTGCCTCGTCGGGAAACCAAAGCTTGCAAGCCCCGCAGCCCAGGCCAGCTGAACCTGGTCCAGAAGTTCGGTTGAGCCCAGTCCGAGACTCAGTAAAAACAAGGCATGATAATAACTCCAGCAAGCGCCCAAAATATCTAATAATAGTTAAAAGCAACCCACGAAGAATAAATGACCCTAGAAGAGGAATTTTATCCCGGCTCTATGAAGACTGAAGGGATTGCCGTGGAAATTCCAACATGAGATTGTCGAAAACTGATCGCATTGTATAACTCATGTTCAAAGGTACAGTATTCCGACATGAGGGATTGCGTACAGTGGTGAATTGCATTTGTCAAAGACACATTGGACTGCCGTAGCCAGCTGCAAATCCGGATTGGCCATTTCGTTTGCATTTACTGTCTTCATCTTCGCTGTATACTGGTTCCGTTATTGCATTATCTGGGAATTGGAAATGATGCCAGATGTGACAACTGCACTGTGTGTATTGTCAAGGGACCGTGTTAGATTGTATTTCATCATTCCCGGCATCTACAGTGCAACGGCCCAATTGTGATCACATTGACAGTTGGCTCAAGTCTGCAGGAAGAGGATTGAGACCGACTGGATCTGGATTGCAAGGGTTCTGATTGTGTGCTGTGCATTACTGTCAACCTGTCGACCATTGTACAAAGTACTGTACGGTATTGGTACTGAAACGTTTTTAATTCAGGGCGGTAATTTTGAAATACCCACCCACATGTGTCAAACTGCAACAGCATGCAAAGATTGGTACTGGCCAGGTGTTCCGTTCTGTACCCCACAAGTAATTAGAGTAAGGTCCCCGAGGCTTGAGGCGCCTTCTGAGGCCAGCCTAGAATAGCGAAGCTTTGGCCCCTCATATCAAGCATGAATTGGGACCTCCTTGACGGTTGTATGAATGCATAACTTCCTGTTCATGACAGCATCGTGAAGCGGGCTCTCGCAGTGCCAGGCCGGCTCCACCCCGAATCCGCCACGCCGGGCACTCGGTGCCGGAAGAAGTCCAGTGGGCCGCGACAGTGGAGACTAGAAGAGACCTCTAGACTCCCCGGTCGATACACTTCCAGAAGGTCGGATTACAATCAAAGATTGCCAGAAGAAGCGCTCGTTCGTCACTGGGCTTGCGGCTGCCTTCCATACTCAAGTGGCGCTGAAGGAGGAGTGGGCTGACTGGCTAATCACAAATGGGCAGGCATGGCTCATCACTGGCTGTCGAAATTGCGAACAGCCGACCTTGCTCACAGGCAGAAGCAGCGATCAGTCACTACATCGAGGCCTGGTTCGCAATCTCTGCGGTCAAAACAAACCATAGACAACAAGACCGAAAGCAGTAGACGATATAGCTCCTCACAACGCCAACAGTGGCTACGATTTGCAGCGACTTCTCGTTTGGAATCCTCTCGCACAGCTGAGTGTTGCGAAGGGGCTGATTGTTCAAGAGTGGATCCAGAACACCAGTGCGTTGCAGCTTTTGTACGTGGCATTCAGTTTCGTGTTTACTTGGTGGTCTTGTGCAAAGAGTCCGGTAATGTGGAAGTGTCTTTGGTTTCATTGGGCCAGGTCAGGTGTCTCACAAATAGCAGCTTGCAGAAAGAGCACGGATGATTTTTCAATCGTCAGAGAATAGAACTACTTGCAGGCACATGCCCCCAAAACAGCGAGCACACACAAAAACATGTGTTAAACCTGCAACAGCATGCAAAGATTGGTGCTGGCCAGGTGTTCCGTTGTGTAACCACAAGTAATTAGAGTAAGGTCCCCGAGGTTTGATGCGTCTTCTGAGGCCAGCGTTTCATAGCGAAGCTTTGGCCGGAGACTCCAACGTGAACTGGGACCTCCTCGGCGTTGTCTGAATGCATAACCTCCTGTCATGAAGAAGCAACGAGTTAGCCATCATTTAACCCCTTGCGTGTACGGCTCTATAGCATCAAACCCCGAAAGTCTTGGATGTTTGGAGAGCATGTGGTTTTGTCATGATGTGCAAACCTGAATGCTTGGTAGTACTTCTTCTATGTCGTGGAATGCAGTTGCGCATGCACCGACATGCAAGCCAATC